AGCAACCGAGGACGAGCTTAGAGATTGCATTGGCGCGACTGGAGGAGTTATCCAAAGCTTGATGGCCATATTTGCGAGAGAAACCGCACCAAACAGCGACCACTTGACCATCGCCATGAAAGCCGGGGAAGCCATAATTGTGCTCGTTCTCCAGTGTCCAAACAATTGCTCGAGGCTCCTCATGCACAAAAGCTACAGACAAGGTGGCGTTAGCAAGACCCTCAAGAACTTGATCAACATGCTCACCAAGCCAGTTGGAGTCCATGCAGCCACAATTTTGCGAAGCTTGTGCGGTGACCTTAACGACGAAGAAAAGTTGGAGCTTGGAGCAGCCATATCTCCCATCATCCAGATGGTGCTGGAATCCACGGACAAGGAACAGCAGGCAGCCATCGGTTTGGCAGCAGCCATAATCCCCTGGCTCGACACACGTAACTTTGAACAAGGCGTGCTATCGCAACAATCACGGCTTTGCCAAAAAATCACAGAGCTTTTATCCCAGACAGCACCTTCTAGGAGCTTGAATTGTATCCGGCGATATAGCGTAGAGCTTCTGAACAGCTTGATGGCAAAGGACGCCAGGTTCTTGCGACGTTTTAGAGAAGACGGTGAAATGGAGGCGTTCCTGGAAGCAATGTCAGCGACTGCCTCAGACGAAGAAAACTTCTTAACGTTTTCGGATTTTGTGGGACTTACCAAGCATTCCAGCAGCCTCGAGGAGCTCGTCAACAGCGCCCTATTGAACTTACACAGGCTGTAGCTTCACCTTTTCCAAAAGAAAGAGCCTCGAATGTGTCATGCTGTCAAGAATAAAATATAAATTCAGTTTCAGCAACTTGCTCACGTAAACTCTAAAAAAGAAAGAAAAAAATCAATCAACATCCAAAGAAGAAGAAGGTTACTTCATAGGAGATTTGAACTCGCAGCAACTTCGCTCACGCAATTGTAATTCACTAACAGAACTCTAAATAGGAAAGAAAACATTAATCAACATGAAAAATAAAGCTTCCTTTACTTCATAGAAGATCTCCTTTCTGAAATTGTGGTCACCACTCCACGCTGTTTTGAACTTTCCAAGCATAGAGTTCGTACTTTTCCGCTGTCACGAAAGTTACATTATTAGAATCAGAACCACGAAGAGGTGAATACAAGAAGTTTCATGAGCAGCAAAACCTTTCAAAGGATATCA